GTACACAGAGCCTCGAGCGCTTGAAATGCTAGACAACCACCAAACCATTCAGAATAACTAGCTGGGACACCAGCGACCTACCTTTCAATGAGAAAGCCCAATAACGACGTGCTCATTGGAGTGATCGTTTTCAAACAAATGTTTATTGCAGTTTAATGGAACAAAAGTTAGGTTACCGATGTTGGAACCCAAATCGAACGCGATACGTGACAATGTCAGTTCGCACGATAAAATAATGAGGATTAATGGGCTTGACAGGTCACGTGCTTCTTACCCGCACATTTATCGATATTGACCCACCTTTCTGGGTAATCCTACGTTGTACACAAAATCCACAACCACACACGAGCACATTTCACCCACCACTCTTCGTCGCCTGTTTCGCAAGATTCACACACTGTAAAAAAACGACGGGAAAAATACGTGCATTTGCGCCATCAAACGATACGTTACAGACTCGTTTTATGAGAAAAGTTTCCATCGTCAACCCGCGCGCGCGAAAGCTCGAGCGCTCGAGCTTTAGAGGCAGTTCGAATTCCGAAGGGAGGCGAGCCGAGCGAGCCGCGAGTAGAGTAACTGGCCGCGAGTAGCCCATCGAGCCAGACAAGCGGCTGAGCGAGCGGAGCGAGCCGCCGAGTGGCCGAATCCGCCGATCCAGCCAAGCCTAGCCAAGCCGCCGAGATTACGCCATTGCGCAGCGACCGCGACCGCGCCAACCCGGCGAGACAGCGGCGATGGCGGGACCGACGGATAACGGCTCGTCAAGTTCGTCGCGCACTTTGCTTGTGGATTCCGAGTGAAATCAACGCACTTTCAATCGCTTCAAAAGGTACGTATAGACGACTTTATTACTTGCAGCATTGAGTGCTTTGGTATACACAGATCAAAGTGAACACTGAAGGACAGAAGGGATACATGATGTTTTGAAATCGCAGCTTATTTGAACGCATGCGTCCCCTGCTGAAAGCGTCTGGCTGTGCTCTGTTGCAGACGTCATTTCGACTGCGTGTACTCTGATGGAACTTCAGTCAGTGTTTACACTCGGCTAGCTATCACTCGGCTTGTTATCTCATGTGCGAAATAGACGTAGAAACCAGCGCCTCGTCCCTTTCGGACATTCAACCTCCAGCCCCCTGGCTCCCACCGTGCTTACCGGCGCAAACCGTTCGACGTGTTGGATTCGTGGGCTCGTTCGAAGAGGCGTTGTTTAACGCTCGCGAGTCGCCGAAGTGTTACCGGAGCTTCTCTTTACGAAAGTCGCGATCGACGCTGGGCTCTGAGCTTGTACTTTTTTCTTCCCTGGTAGACTAAGAGTGCCGAACATTCATCTGTGGTGCCGACTGGCGCCAATACGAAGTTGAGAAAAGCTAGCGAGTCTGTCAGATTTTCGTGACGCCGCCCAACTGCTCTGCTACCGGCTGCGCTCAAAGAATAAGGTAAAAAAAAAAAAAAACAAGAAAAAAAAAAAACGGGTTTTGAAATTTAAAAAAAAAAAAAAAAAAATTTTTTTTTTTGCCATGTTTTATTTCAGTCGCCGCAAAGTAAATCGCGGCCGTACGTCGGTTGACTCCCGATTGCTGTCTCTACATCGTAGATTGTCTCACCACAATGGTGCCTGGTTGGTGTGATCTTATTCTGATATCATTACATCTTGCTTTTTCATCTTAGCACACTTCTAGACGACCTTCTACACGTTGCACTCCTTGTCGACATGTCGCTGGTGTTAGAGACAAATCTGAAGTCGCTGTTTGCTCACTCCTTGGTGCACATATTTCATGTTCAACATCAGGTATCTGAAGGAGGCGCCATGAAACCCTGGAGTTTGTTTAGAGGTACCTCAACATACTGTATTCAAGTGTCGTTTTGTGTGTTATAGTTTCCTACAAAACCAAATTGCACTTTGTTCGTAATATACCCTATAACTGTTCACTACAATTAAAGTTGCTATGAAACATTGGCCACGAGAGGTGACTCGGCCAACGCAGCCTGAAAATTCCTCGCATAATTTTCTTCATGGGTCATTTTGGACATTGACAAATTTTCTTGTGAATAATGAGTGTTATGCACATGTATTCTACTTTTCGTACAGGTACTTCAGTTAGATAAACCCCAGCAAAGGCAGCAAGACAGTCTCATGGGGTCACACCAAGGACAACTGCATTCCTGCTCGAGTCCCGAGTCTTGTCACCAAACTTCACTGAACATAATGGTACATTCCGTTTCCTTAACTTTTTCTTCTGAAATGTGTTTTTTTTATTGTTGCTTTTTTCTATTGAAAAAGGGGTAGTACAACGTTTAAACACCCAATGTTTTTTTTTTCTTTTTGTAAAATGTGTAGTACATCGTTTAAACACCCAAGCGTTCATAAATGGTCTCTGTACCAGACAATAGGGTGTCTTATACTCTGTTTCATACTTAGCGTGCAACGCTGTGAAAGGTACTAAAGTGGTGCGCATGAAAAAATAGAAAAAATTACTCCGCGCGTTTCGTGGACGAGTGGTAGAAGGCGCTGCTCTGGCGATATTGACGTCTCGGTGGCCGTGCTTTGAACCCAATTTACGCGCAAAGTTTTTTTTTTTTTTTTTCTTTCTTTCTTTTTTAGACATACTTTTCGTGCAAGATTGTGCGCATTGACGAAGTGCATGTTTCAGTTCCTCCTTCTTCATTTTTATTTATAAGTCGCCGAGAGGCCAGATTTCTACCATCTGGTCTGCCGCTTTGCGAGTGTTATTTGCCTCCAGCACCGAGTTATATTTTCTTTCGTGCAGCGTGTAATAAGGAAAGGCCCTGATACCGGCTTTGTCCCAAAATTTATAATAAAACGTTAATCGACAATAGTTGTGGCCTGTACAGTTTATTTTGAAATAGCCGTCAAGGGTAGGAATCTCCCTCTCGGAGCACTTGCGATGCACCTTCAGGCGAATGGCGTTCTGTGTGAACTCGTCATGCTTGACGGTCCCCGTGCTCGAAACTTTCACGTTGCGAGGTCTTTGCTTCGGGGACGCCACCTTGCCAGATGGGCACTGCGCCTTGCACTTCGCGACAGTACAGGGCACACTCCAGTGTCGTTACTGGCCGTCTCCAGGACTTCACGACCGAATTCTCCGGGGAATGTGTTCTTATACTCCCGTACACATTGGCGATCATCTGCTTGCACTCTTTCAAGATTTTCGCACAACGAATCTTCGAAAACATCCGAGCAGGAGAGGTACTTGAGCTTGCTGCATAAGACGCCATCTTCTCAAAACCAGCCAGTGCCACACAACCCGAAAACCCACAGCGGCTGCCACACGGATGAACACGAAAACAATTTAAGGTGGTTTACATTATCTTTTCCTTTTTCTTGGAAAACATTTGTGCTCCGTTGAAATCATAACGCCACTATCAGTTACTAGCCTCGAGGAGGCACATTTTCCGACTTTTAAAAAATTTTTTCCAGGGGACGCACTATCTTATGGGGCGAACGTAGGCACGGTCAGCATTGCAAACCGGTGCGCTAGCTTTGACTGCGTTGCACTCTATATATGAAACAGAGTATAGGGTCGCTTCAGACGGGGCAACCTTTCCAGCAATTTTAAGGCTGCTGGCGGGTTGTTCCCTAGTTTTCCCTAGATCGACACGAATTGCTGAGATTGGCTCCGGCTCGAAGCGGACGAGCAACTTTGACTACTCGGAGATGTTTGAAGCGGCAGCAGCCAATCAGGAATGCAATATTTTCATGTGACACCCCTGTGGTCGTGACGATGAGAACTGAGGACTTAGTTCAGGTTTGAAATGGATCATTTTTGAAAAAAAAACTGTTTCAAAAAGATGAGTTTGTATTCTCAGCGCAATTTAAAGATATAAAAACATGTTTTTAGGATATAACTGTGCGTCTAAATACTGTAAGAAAAATAAAATTTCATGATGATGATGGCAAGTCGTAGCAATTTGGTTGCTGCATGTGAACGCGGGCGGCCCGTGTTGCTGGTGTTGCGACATGAAGTTGCTGGGCGAAATTGTTCCGTCTGAAGCGGGCTTTAGGGAACTGAATTCAAGGGCCGTGGAGCTCCGGGTGCAAGCCCACCTGGAAACATTTTTTTTTTCTTTTTTGCCATTTTTAGTATTTAAATGTAGATATATATATATACTTTTTTAAGTTTTAACATATAGATGCATAATTTACACACTAATTCATTTTCAGAAGCGCTTTTATTCACACTCTGTGGCTTTCTAGTGCTTGCAATAGCTTCTCGGTGAGCTAATGCCAGCTCTGCAAAGGGAGAGGGATCTTCCCACGCTTTGCAGGCTGTAAAGCTGTGGCTTGCACAGCTCTAGTGTGTCACACCTCGCTCACTGGCTCCATCGCGAAGCCTAGGTGCTTCATGAGTCGCGCCACACCGTAAGCCCAAAAAACGGTCGGGTGACAAACCTGGGACCATTTGTCACTGCACTCAGCTATTTTATGGTGGCATGGTCGGGGCATGAAGCAGGGGTACAGCTTGGAAATGCTGATCTTCATGACATTTTAAACACATTTTTTATTACTTTTGTCTCGAGTTGTCAGCATTCTAAAGGTGAGAAAGCAAGCAGCAGCGACAGCAAGAAAAGAAAAATTTAAGACCGCTTTCACCAAGAATCAATTACGAGCACGAGAAAGGCATGGAGTGTAATTAAAACGCTTCTAAAGGTGAATTAGCGTATAAATTAAGTACTTGTGCCTCAAAAATACAAAAAAAACAATGTAAATATAGTTATAAGAATAAAAATATACACCAGGAGGACTTAAACCAAAACTACATTCTGTAAGTTTGAAATCTGACACCTTAAACCAGTTGGTCACCACCCAATTTTATTTCCAGGTCGTTCATCGAGGTACAGTGCAGTCCACTTATAACGATATTGAGAAAACCGCAAAATCCAATCGTTATAGCCGATTATCGTTATATCTGGACCGACAAAAAAAAAACACAAAGAGAAGTTACTTACGGGCGATGAGTGAATCAGGTCGTACAACGCGAGCCGAGGCAAAGAAAACCGAAGGCTTTATTAAAAGGTACGAAAATGACTATAAAATAATTTAAGCATGCTTAAAAAAGTCGGAAATTTGCGCTTGCTTGAGCTGAAGTTTGACAATTGCCGTGTGCATTGCTTCCAGTTGTTGCGCGTACGCTGGCGGCAGTCCTTTTGCGTGCACAAAACCGACCAGCGACTGGATGGAGAGCAGGGCATTTTGTGAAGACATTGGAGGCGGGGTGTTCTCGTCGCCGCCGTCGTCGTCACTACTTTCGCAGTCGCTCGATGTGATTTTTCGTCGCGATTGCTGTTCCTCGGCAATGGCCTCATCAGTAGACTCCTCGCATGAAGCGGCAGCGTTGTCCGCGTTCAAAAAGTCTCCCAAGAGAGCTCCGCCGATGTTCTCCTCGTAAGCTGCTATGTGGTCCCAAAGTTCACCCACATCGGCAGGTTCGATGAGCAAGTCATTTGTCTCTTCCGAGACCGTGGCGTTGTGGCGCACGAAGCCTGCCTTTTTAAAACAGTTCTTGAGTGTAACCTGCTTCACCTCATACCACGCACCATGCACGAACCGCACCGCTTCTAACAAGCTCACCTTCAGGTCAGGAGGTCCGCCGGCGTATTGAGACAATCCTGAGCAGTCTAGTTTCATGATGAGCCATTCCAGCATGCGACGTCTGTAGAGGGCCTTGAAATTGGCGATTACGCCGGCATCCATGGGCTGCAGACCTGCCGTGGTGTTCGGAGGCAGAAACATTACCTCAACGGACGTTAGCTTCGGGCTGACGTTGTGTGCGCTGCAGTTGTCGAGGAGCAGCACCACTTTCCTCTTCTGCTTCTCCATAGCGCCGTCAAACTCGAGGAGCCATTCCTCAAAGAGATCTCGCGTCATCCACGCTTTCTTGTTATTTCGATAGCGGACTGGAATGCATTGATTCCTAAAGCAGTGAGGCCTTTTCGATTTCCCGATCACAAAGGGCTTGAGACGCTCGGTACCGTCCATGTTTGCGCACACAAACACCGTCACCCGGACCTTGCTATGTTTGCCACCAACGCACGGGTCACCTTTCAGCGCGTGCGTCTTTGTAGGCAGCATCTCATAAAAGTGTGCTGTTTCATCGCCGTTGAAAATGTCACTTTCTTGGAAGCGCTCCAACAGCTCGGGTAATTTCGTCGCCAGCCATTCGTCTTTCGCATTTACGTCCAGCGAGGCAGCCTCCCCGACGACGTTTTTATAAACGATGCCGTGGCGATCCTTGAACCGCTGAATCCATCCTCCGCCGGGTTCGAAGTTTTCCCGTCCCAGAAGGGAAGCAAATTTCTTCGCCTTTGCGGCAAGAATAGGTCCACTTATGGGCACGTTCCGGTTGCGAGTGGTCAAGAACCACTGGTACAGGGAGTCTTCAACGTCGCCGTACAAAGGATCCCTAACCCGCTTTCGCTGGTCGTCGTGACCGCTGGTGCCAGCCTTCTTCAAGACATCTCCAGCCTTGATGATTGTAGAAATCGTTGATTGAGACAGCTCGTATCTTTTTGCGAGGCTACCAACCTTGAATCCTTGTCGGAAATCCCGGTGAATTCGCTGCTTCACCTCCAGAGATATCGCTTTGCGCTTAGTCGGCGCCATTTTTACCTCACGAACGTACGAACGTGCGGAAACGGGGGAAAACTAGGAAGCGTTGCGCGGCGGCGGCCAAGCAAGCTCTTTCTCTCCTCCCTTCAGCGATTGCGATGACGATAGCACTTAGTTCCGAAGGATGAGGCTGAACTTTTTAAATCGGGCGGCGCCTCGCGTCACCTAGCGGATCTTTCCACGCCGACCGGTTTTTGATATTTTTACTAGTTTTCATGTCGTTCGCTTCAAGTATTTTAATTTTTCTCAAATTTCCAGGCAAATTTTTCGTGATAAGCACCTTCCGGGCGGCCAGAATTCTATCGTTGTATCCGATATGTCGCCGATAATTCTATCGTTATATATGGTTTATTTTTACATAGGGGCGATGGGAGAATTGACAAATCTAAAAAATTTGATCGCTATAAGCGATATATCGTTATATCTGGTATCGTTATAAGTGGATTACACTGTATATGAATTTTGTTTGCAGCTGTCGGCTAGAAGAGAGGCTGCCTTATTTTCATTTACTTTACTATTCCCACCAAATATGACAAGTGATAAAGAATAGAACCTCATTTGGTTGGCCGAGGCACTGTGCTTGCATCAAGGCAAACTAGCCTGTCTTGCTGGGTTCATATTTTGTTTCATCACCTGTTTAGGATTCTGTTGTTGCTCATCAAAAGAAGAAAAAAAAAACTGACTAATTCTGACTTATTCTGGTGTGTAGGTACCGTTGGCAGTAAACTCTGCTAAATGGGGCAAAATATAGATACTTTTTTTAGCAAATATGCATCGTTTTAGCAAAATGAGCTACACTATTTGACTAACGGGAAACAGAACGAGCCTCTCCACTTGGGTCTTTTTTCATCTCTCGCAGACACTATTTCCTGCTTTTTGTGGTTTGTATCAGACTTTTGTATTCTGTCCGGCCAAAGCATCTGCGTTACACTAAGACTGGGTTCTTTAGGATATCTACAGGTATTCTTCGCAGAAAATGGCTTCCAATCAGGAACACGAGTTTGTTCTCGGCCACCGAGAGCGAGTATTTTCCAGGTGAGCTATTGCCCGCCTATATGAGTTTTGCATTTCATTCCTCTTGAATGCTATAACCTGTTTGTAGTGGGCTTGCACTGGTATTTTGTTGTCTCTCTTCTGCAAAAGCACCCAAGTTTAATTAAGACCGGGTTCTTTCTTACACATGCAGGTCTTGGTGGCAAGAACCAGCCAATCAAGGCCAGAAGTTTGTTTTTTTGCTGCGCATGGCAAGTGTTTTCAAGGTGAGTGATTGATGCCTATCTGAGTTGTTTGTTTCATTCCTCAGAGACACTCTACCTGTCTGTATAGTGGCCTTGTTTCAAGCTTTTGTGTCTCTGTCCGGCCAAAGCATCTGTGTAAGACTAATCTTTAGGATATGTGCAGCAATTCTTGGCAGCAAGTGGCTGTCAATCAGGAACACGAGTTTGTTCTCGGCCACCAAAAGCAAGTATTTTCAAGGCGAGCTCTTGCCCGCCTATATGAGTTTCAGCATTCATCAAGGAGCGCAAAATCAAAGCCCGGGGGTTGGCCATTGCAAAAGTGTTGACTCGGAAGCGCATAGGGAGGAAGCTTTATAGACCAACACGCGGCCTTGATGTCACGCAACCGCGGTGGCGCTGTCGACGGCACGGCGCATGCGCAGACGTCTCACTTCACGTAAATTCGGTTTCTGCGCACGCGCAGTGCCCACACCTGGTGTGGGGAAACGTGGGCTTGTTTGTAAACAGCGTGTCGGTTTATAAAAGTATCCACCTGCTTCTACAAGACAAACCAAAACTAAGAATGTGGGTTCCATTTGAAAAAAAAAAAAAAAAAGCATTGTCGGCTTGAATTAACTCGGGGGCGGCACTGAGCAAACAAGCCACGGTACGAGTATGCTTGGTTCAGGCGTTTGTAAAGGTGGTAGATGACTCGGTGTTTTCTAAAAAAAAATATTTTTTTTTTCTAAAAGTGTGGTGGTCGAATATTCAGGGATGGGCATTGAGTCGGGATGTTAAGGTAAAAATTTCATCCACATGCCGGGATTCATGTGCCTTGTCCCCCTAGCGAGCGGGACAAGGCCTTCAAAATTTTGGGTTCGCTAAAGGGGTGCGTCAGTATTGACGTCTCATTTTACATCATTCGTCTCAATTTAAAACGCACTATAAATGACATGCCTGAGATTTGTTTGGGTGTACTTCCTCTCAGCAAGTATATGGTTCTGTCTCAAAAAGGTCTAATCTGATGTTGACCGCTCCTCAGGTCTCCACCGACGATTCATCAGGACGAGACCCAACCGGGACACTAGGGAGGAACGGCTTAAGCAAGGGAGGCTACATATACGACAGCTTCTTGCGGACAAGAAACGAAGATAGATAGATGGTGGGTGTTTCATTTGCTATGCCTTTTGGCGTGCACATTATGTTTGTTATGTTTCAAGATTCCTGCAGAGTTCGGTTTCAACTATTGTAAAATACCGAGCATGCGCCCAGGTCGCAGAGGCGCCTACCCTCTGATTCGGAACGATCTGCAAGTAAGCAAATGGCATACCAGACACCCATCCACCTGTTTTGAGCCGTGCTCAAAATATTGAAAGAGCACATCAAGTGCCAGGTGCTGTGGCGTCTTTGCCACAATAGCGCCAGTCGCAGAGCTGACAGATCTGTGACTGGCGCAAGCCATGGCATGGCCTTCGGGAACCAGGGAATTGAAATTAAAGAAGTAGCGCAGAAATTGGAGGCGAGTGGTGAAGGTGAGCAGAGTTAACAGAAAACAAGGACGAAGGGAGTTCCGTCGCATGAGGCATCTGTGTCCCGTGCATGTAATTTTAAGTGTGCTGAAGGTGGCTACCCAAAAACATTGTTACTTGGACGTAACTAATCGCAAACCTCTCTTGCAGTTTTCATGGCCCACAAGCCAGCCGGCGCCAGTTCGCTCTCGTTCAAAGGTGAGGATTCTGGATTTTCTAGATTGCTCTGAAGCAGCAGTACTGAAGCCAGACAAGCGGTACGGCATATTTAATTGACAGAACGACTGGGGACGCTTTCACTGAAGCTTGTTTTGCTGCAATACACATGTGTATTGCAGCAAAACAAGCTTCAGTGAAAGCGTCCCTACTCGTTCTAAGCTCCGTCAATTATAGGTGCCGTACCGTTTGTCTGTCTGGCTTCAGTGTTGCTGTAGGCGACAAAACGTGTGCCCAGTTTTGTCACAAGAGGCATATTATGTCAAGCACATGTAATTTTGAATTTATCCGGCTTAGTGTGCTGTAAGTGGCTGGTCAAAGAAATTGATACTTGGATGCAGCTAATCGCAAATCTTTCTGGCAGTTTCTACAGCCTAAGAGCCAGCAGGTCCCAGTTTGCTTTTCTTCAAAGGTGAGAATTCCAGATTCTCGAAGCAGGAATACTGAAGCCATACGACCGGTACAGCATTTTGAATTGACGGAGCTCAGAACGACTGGGAGCTCCTCCATTGAAGCTTAGTTTTCTGTAATACAAGCGGGCGAAATTGACACGTGCCCAGTTACGTCGCAAGAGGATATCTATGTCCCGCGCATGTAATTTTGAATCTTTCAGACTTAGTGTGCTTTACGTGGCTACTCAAAGTAACTGCTACTTGGACGCAACTAACCGGAAATCTCTCTTCCAGTTTCCACGGCCTACAAGCAAGGAAGCACCAGTTTGTTTTTCCTCAAAGGTGAGCATTCCAGATACTCTAGTTAGGTGCGAAGCAGGAATAGTGAAGCCAGACGAGCGGATACGCATATTTAATTGACCGAGCTCAGAATGACCTGTGGCAGTGGCATTAAAGCTTATTTTTTCACAATCAAACGCAGACGTAATTTTGAATCTATCCCGCTTGGTGAAGGATTGCTACTTGTCGCGAACTAATCAGAAATTTCTATTTTGCAGTTTCTATATAACTACAGCTAGCAGGTGCTGTTTTCATTAAGGTGAGGATTTCACATTCTGTTTTCAAACATCAAGTTTTTGAATGAGAGTCCTAAACAATTAACTTTCTTTTGCAGTAAATGCCAGATCCTCCAGTTCAGGAATATGTTAAATATATTTGGTATGGATAAGTCCAGTGTTTTTCTTCTTTATTCACAATTTCACAACAGCAACATTTTTTTAATTTATCACTCAGAAATACACACAAGAAGAGACTGCGTTGCAGAGAAATGTTGCGCTGAACGTGATATTCCAACTCGTTTATAGTTTTATTGATAGCCGATATAATATATTGGATTCCAATATCCATAATACGCTGAGTATATTGGAATCATAAACCCTTATTGGATCCCGATACGACGCATGGGGATCCAATAAGGGTTTATACGGTATTGGATACCAATATTTTCAGCGTATTATGGATATTGGAATCCCATAACCAATCCTTATTGTAATACAATACAATAAATGTAATGTTTTCCAATACACTGTCTATTTTGTATTGCAATACAATAAA